CGCAAAGGCATGTGACCAACGCTGGGCAATTAATGCTGTCGCGGGTTTATGGTCAAAGCAACGTCAAAGATCGGATGAATGAGTCAAAATGCTCAAGAAACATCTATCAATCATCGCCGAGGCCATCGCGATCAGAGTTTTGAAAGCAGAATTGTGCAAACAGCGAAGTTTGGTCCAAGCTTTGACGTTGCCCCGGCCATAAACGCGCTCCGGCATTAATTGTCCATTGTTGGTCACGTGCGTTTGCGTGTACCGTCTAGCCTGATTGGGCCAGCCATTGATATGGATTTCATAATGTTTAGGTAACCAGTTGGGCAGATATGTGGTTTTCTCTACATTCATTTGTCCTGTTTTATCAAGGCTTTTACAAGCTTACTCAAGTCATAATTTTCTTTGTTATTGTAGATGCCTGCAGTGATTTATCGAAAGTAATATTCTTCTCAAACTGCTAATTCCTTATCCCATGGGAATAATTTATGAAACGTGATTGTGCTTTCCAGGGGGAGTATCCGGGCCAGAGGCAGATAAAGGCAAGACAAGGAGCCGCGGAGCATCACTACTGCGCCACAGTTTGCATGCATGACTGACGTAAGCTGAATGAAGGTATTCCATTCGAAACACGCCTGACACTCAATACACCCGACGTGGGTCACAAATGATGACGACAACTGTGCTAATGGTCCTCTACAAGGGATCTTACAGATCCGCACTGATGCCACAACATGCGGTGTGCAGCCACCCTTCGCAGAATGAACATTGAACAACCCCCGAACGAGAAGTGATACTATTACAACAATCTCAACATTTGGAAATCCTTTATTCAGGAACTTCATGATCTATCTTCAAGAAAAATTTAGCAACTTTACCAAGGTATCAGAACACGCGGTGTTCCAAAGTCACGTTCCACGAACTTTGTTCCCGGACAGGTAGTGTCACAAGTTTGCTCGATAAACAGAGTTGAAGGCGGCTTTCAGTTCAGCGCTGCCTATCTATATCAGTATGAATGCATTTGCGATGTTGGCTATGTTGGCATGACCGAACTACAGTTGCCAGTGAAGATCAAAGACACATCCCGGCCAGGGTTGGTAAACCGATTTCGCTGATGACTGTGTCCTGTACCCCAAATGCTCACCTGATGGAGTGAAATGATTTTCCATACAAACAATCAGTCTCATCACTCGCCTACCACTTGCTAGTTAATCGACATTGTGTGTCCCCTACTGTGCTTTCCTTGTTATATACATTTCAACCAATCTCCAGGTTTTACCACATGCAGAAAGTCTGGCCGTCGAAAAACTTGGCCCAACCTATTGTGTGCAGGAGGGCACACTTGTCACCCTTGCTCTGCCATTGTAATTCGTCCCTAACTGATGGCAAAATGACTTGTACTTTTGTGTTTACGATCTAGTCAATTTACTCCTTCGACTTCACTACTTAATGGTGCCATATATACACACCGTTTGTAATACGTACTCGAAAATACGCGAAGAAAATTTTTTTGGAATTCAATCTTTTTTCTCTCGTGTCAACTCTTCTACCAGATTTTATGTGCACTATCTATTCGTGAAACATGTTATATCAGTATCGGGAATTTCTCCTCGGAGAGTTCGTATGCCTGGCGAAAACAAAGTGCTCCTTGTCTCTCATCAGCTACTCTACTCCGTTTGTTATCTGCTGCACTCCGTATTTGGTTGTATGCATAACAAGCTGTGACCTCTCTCACAGGGTATGTGAGTCTTCCCGTGTTTCTGCATCCCTCCAGTCAACTTTTTATTTTGTGTGCCATTCGTGTCCGATTTAATCAGGTCCTTATTTTTGCGAACAGTTGCCCATCCTATGTTATTCCGATAGGAACTTCCGTCAAAGCGATTAACGCTTTGACAGGACTACTGTTTGCATTGACCTGTCGATTGTTTATTCGAATCTGTTCAGGTGAAATTGGGCCGTTTGCTAGGAGTACCGACTGTAGGCATCTTGTGAATGCAACCGTTGCTAGCTGTCTGTCCTTGAATACACTGTTCTTCCATGACATTGTACGGTTTTTTCTGCTCTTAGTTGTGAACAATACGAATGACGAATGTGACTTTATCTACTTCTGTCTGTGTTCTGACTCAAACCCGCTGAGTATCTCTTGCCTTGGGTCCATCATCCGTAGCGTTATAAGTGCCCACTTCCTTAATCCCGTATATGCAGATTACACCTTAGGTCCTTAAGTCACCGGAAGTCTCTTACCACCTTTTTCGCTGGCATTGCCACGACGTCCCAATTTTTCCGCTGACTATTGTTGATTGTGATTCGTTTAACACATACGTTACTTGACGAAAATGTAATTTTTCAACGTGAGGCTGTTAAAATTTGACATTCAGTTCTTTAGCACGACTTAGTTGCTTAGGATCTCATCCTCTGTCTTCTTTTTGGTTGCAGCCTTTTGGTGGCTCACTAAATGTACGATTCCCATATGACGGTTGAGTGAGTATCCGTCACAGATTAGTCGTTCTATCTAGTTTTATCTCCCAATGTAAGTTTTCAACAAAATGTCTATGAGAACAAGGAGAACGTTTGGTGTGCAATTGCCTTCATTCATACATCATCAGACCAGTACAATCATATATAGGGCTCTCTGACCTGTCTATCTCCATACTCGGCCAACACTGAGTGGGAAAATTAGTCGCTTCACTTTTTTCGCGCTTGGTATGGCCAATAGAAAAATCGCTTATTTTTTCCAGTTGTCGCGATGTTCATCAAGCTAGTCAATTTGATTGCAAATGTTTCATCGGCATTCGAAGTGACATCAAAACTGCAGCTTTGTAACAGAAGCTGGTAGACAGCAAACTCATTGCTTATTTTCTATCTCTGATTCTTGTCGCCAACTTGAATTCGGGACTATCATCGACTAGGCCCAGTCACACCACACATTGGTGACTACATATGTTCATATTATTTTGCCCGTTGCTTGACCGCCTAGACAGCGCGCTCATTCCCATCCAAGTTCAAATGCACTTTTTTGTCTTAGGCATCATACTTCCTTCTGTGCGCACTTGTGCTGCGGTCATTTCTGTAACTAAACCAACCGGATTTTATTTGTTGTTTATCCTGCCTGATACTCCGTCCACAAACTCGATTGTCGTATTTGAAAGGCTGTGGTTCATATGTGGTAATGGAGAGATTCAGCCGAAGTCGTTATTTTTTAGAAGAGCAATTCATACTCATGGCCGTATACCTTGTGTAGCTTTAAGTATCTCTTTGTTATAAGGGAAATCCCAACAAACACAAATATTCCTTGACACGAAACAATCTTGCCTCATTTTTGTACAGTTACCACCCTTGTGGTTAAAGTCAAGCTTAGATAATGACCATGTTAGTATTGGCCTTTCTTCTTTCCTTCATGTTTATGTTGATCTCTTTCATCGTCCTTCATAAATCCCGTTGCGATTGACAATTATCATCGTACCTGAGTTTCCGCTGTGTGATAGCATTCGTCTCGTTGAACTGAGTGTGTTCGTATGGTGCTCGAGAGCTCTTCATCAGTATGGATGACTAGCACTCAGACACCGTATTTTGACACGGACCTATAAAATCCGATGCTTTCATTGATTGTTTGTACTGATATTCCATGCGACGAATCCAGACCCCCCATCCCTTGTTAACCGTTTTCCATTTCTGCATATACAGCGGTTTTATCTAGTTTCATTCATTTCAATCTGGGCTCTCTATTTCATTCAGACCGAAACTCCCTGAAAGGTGCACTCTTTCACTCTTTTCTATCTACCACGACCGAATTGCCGAATCACCGACCTGGTTCCTCTCTCCTTCCTGCTAACTAATGCATTTTGTTTTTTGAGAGGTTTTGTCTCTGCTAGACTCAGACAGACAGTCATTACACATACAGGAAAGCGCTAGACGGTGGTTTCCTCTTGTTGGAACTCGTCAGTGGCGCGCACTCGCCGAATCCTGATGGATTCGAGCCCATGGCCTTACTCTTACGAGTCAGCGACTTGTGCCACTACGCCATGGGCGACGGCAGCGGACCGCCATGACTGATATCTAACTGCGATATAGCGCGACTCATCCTCCACTGTCACGCAGGTTATGAACGTGACAGAGCTGGTCCCTAGAGCAACGACTTCCTTTGCAAGTTGCCACCAATCGAGGTGGCATTTAAGCTGCTAAGGGGGTTGCTGATTTTTAGTGGATAGTAGTGGGGTTGTTTTTTGTCACAGCTAGACTCCGACAGACAGCCACCACGCTTCCAGTGAAGCACTAGACGGTTGCTTCGTCCTGTTTGGACTCGTCAGTGGCGCGCACTCGCCGTGTACTTCCCGTGCCGTTCTTGCTCCGGTAAAATTGACCTCAATGAATAGTATACTTGCGAAATGTAGTTTATTCGTCCGTTTTCAATTGATTTCCACTTGCACACTCTCGGTGAATACCTCCAAGTGGAGCTAAATGAATAGAACCATGTCCGATTCACCCTTCCGTATAACTGTTATTTGTAGCCCGTGGCCCGATAGACGAAACAGAACGCTTCCTACTTTGCAGTGGCGAAAGGCCGGAACGAAAAATTAGTATTATAAGAAGGGTAAGGCAAGGCAAATGTCAATCATGTAATTGACTGTGCTTACGATCGAGACTCCAATGCGTTCGTGACACTGACCACTGCTAACTGCACTCTGGGTCATCCCAATTGGATTGACAGCAAATAATTGGCCTATTCCCAACCACTGGGCGTTGAGCTAACGTAATTTCGGTGATTTGAATTCTTGTGCTTGTAAACTGTTGTCTAGCTATATATTCTGAACGCAATCCTCTTCCTATTTTCGCAAGGTTGATCTCTCTCATGACATAACAAGTGCTTCATTTTGCATGGAAATACGGCTTGAACGGGGTCCTTCATCACACTTATCCTCACTAGTTACCTAATTTCAGCCCTTCCAGCGTAGTTTATGCGTCCGCCCGCCGTTCCAACTTACTCGTCATCGGCCTTCCTCATATCACCTCAGGTATATACCCTGGGCCCCGCTTTTCGTGCCGAGGCGTCTCACACGCGACATCATCTGGCCGAGTTCTACATGCTGGAGGCCGAATCCATCCATTTGGACACCGTGGATCGCTTGTGCACGGAAATTGAAGCAATGGTTCGTTCGTTTTTAAGAGAATTTTGCCTTTCTATACAGTCACCTCCTGTGCTGTCGGATGGCGATTCGACACAAAACGACGCAGTCCCTTCCGATCAACAGGTGAGTCAGGCTGCATTATCGTCTTATTCTACTGTTACTGCAACATATTTTCGCTTGATCATCACAATCGATGCCGGCTGATTTTTCACATCCTCACCTCGGCCAGTTCCATCCCCAATTACCGTTCTTGTCCGTCGCTGCCTGAATGCTCGGAAAACAGTTGCTTCCAATTATGGATGCACTTCTGTGCACCTGGAAAGGATGTGTTTTCATTTGTACTGCACACGCCCTTCATGTGGTGTAAAATTGTTTTATTACATGGATTGGCGATAAAACAATATCAAAAACAAAGTGTCATGTGTAGCACAACCTCAGTGGTAAAATTTGCGTTATTTTTGGATGATAACATTCGATCTAAGCAAAAATCCAGCTACATATGGGATGACCCGACGAATTGTAACTTTTATGGGGCCATATATTGCTTCGTGCTTTCTTGTGGTCAAGTAAATATGCGCTTATTCAGATAGTGCACACTAAAGAGGTTGGCCGACATCGGTTAGTATTTTCGAAGCAAGCTTCGTACAGTGACTAACATGAGCATCTACGATAGTTTTAGCTAACTTCCGGTTTGAAATGACACTACAGCGAGTCAAGCCAAAGAGATCTGTCAGGTAGTTTGAGATGTTTACCTAATATGCTAGGAAAAGTCGCAGGAGTACGGTAAGTCCATTGTGGCAGAATAGCCGCAGTGATGGCGAAGGATGATGGTATACGATAGCTACAAAGCGAGGAAGTGACCACGATAAATCATGACTTAGTATGACTCCTAGATGCCTCATTGACATAGGGAAGCACAGCCTGCCACCGTCTATGTGAAGTTAAGAAAAGTTCGTGATAAATTTGTGGTATCAAGCTGTTGTATGCAGTGCGAACAATGCGTCATTACAGTTGGATGCATTCACAACATCTTTACAATCTCTCGCTATTCGACTCCCAGGTATTTTACTACCGTACTGTCTGTCTTCTCTGGTGATCCAACATCATCTGAAGAAACTCTCACCTCACGCTCCTTGATGTCTTGTTTGTTCCACACATTTTCTTCATACCCTTTTGTCCCGAATCGGGATTTGTCCGATCTCCATGAGTTTTCATTCATCCCATCAACTTGTTTTTAGCTTGACCTGGCACTAGTGCTCTCCACCCTGTGTGAAGGCAACCATTGGACAAAACGAAGACTCTCTGAACTCCCGATTTCATCGCTCATCACACAACTGTGCTCCAAGGTCGATGCTGTTGCCGCAAAACCATTTCCACGGATAACCTATTACGACGCTGTAAATCATTTGACCACGAAATTCGGATCCAGGAATTCTCTTTACGACTTTAGCAAAGATGAAGAACGCCATATTGTTCAATGGTTCGGGGGTGGATTGCTCCCCGTATTTGTCACACACTTTCCGACTGCTTTGAAACCTTTTTACTGCCGTTCACTGGATGGAACCGTTTCCGAGTCGGTAGACTTGCTATTTCCCGACGTCGGCGAATTGGTTGGTGGTAGTGTGCGTGAATGCGATGCTGAAGCTTTACGCAATCGCTTATCGTCGCAGACTGGCAATTCTTCTGCTCTACAATGGTATATTAACCTCCGTGGCTCAGGTAGCGCACCTCATGGGGGTTTCGGATTAGGTTTTGAACGGTTTATGCAATACGTGCTGAGTGTGCCAAATATTCGGGATGTTATCCCATTTCCACGTGACATAAATAGGATTGATTTATAAACTTATGCCTGTTTGGGTCTTGGACAGTTTTGTCATTTCGGCTATTAGCGCATTATTCTTTACACATTTTCCATTTGGGAATATTCATCGTGGAACGACTGAGCCTTGAAGATCGCTCGCGTACCTCGCTTTTTCGCTGAACTTCGCCGAGTTGCAGTTTCATTCTACTTCGGAGCCTCTTCTACCATCATCATCATTATACATGTTTGCTACAGGTAGAAAACACCTCAGTTACTGTGCCGTAATACATAAAAGAAAGTAGCATACAACGAATGCATGCCAGCTGAGCTACCAGTAACGGATGGGCATCGTTGCGGAAAGCTACCACCCGGCTAATATGCAGCAAAAACTTTTTGTGCAAAATTCTATTATGCTAAGAAATGTCATGGTGACTGGAGGGGAGGCTAAGAAGGATGGGAAGGGACAGCTAAACTCACAACACAAATGCCATTGTGATCGGCTGCTAGTCATGTCACCAAGTATATCCAGCCAAACGTGTTCCTCCCATGCATGTCGTTTTTTGTATGCCAGTAAGACTCAGTCTAAGCTTCTGTACCCGAGTTTGTGAAATGATTAGGACTCTGTCTCAAACTGTTATAACAGAAAATAGCTTGTGTATCAGTAGCGAACCGCTTACATTGGCTAAGTCCTTGTTCCCGTTGCTCACCTTCGACGTCTATTATACGCCGTCCCTGCACCAAATTAGACGAAGGCAGGAAATGACCAGCTGATAGCGTGGTGTGTAAAGGTTGACCGAGTGACTTGATCAGACTGATGGTGGACTTGGCGTGGTCCACATCGTACCATTTGCAGACTCTGTGAGATGTGACGCAATCGCGTAGCCAGTGGTACTTCTTCGTTCGGGTCCATTGCACTTCGATGCACGGATGGTAGATGATCTAAGTAGCTGAGATGGCTACGAAACGTAAACTAAATTATACGAAATGTTTTCTTCTATGTTCATAACCAATTTTGTAAGTTGATTTTTCATATTCTGCGACATCTTTTTCATCTCCATTCTTCATCTCTGTCTTTCAGTTCCAAACAGGTCATGTAATGCATATACCGACGAATCCTGTTGACGCGGATACTTTAGACATCTTTCTTCCTCTGGTCATTGTTCGACAGTCACGCCTTACAGGACTTTGCTGATAAGATGCCCTCATCCATACTGTCACTTAACTAACTCGGAGGTTATGACCCTCTCGGATACAGTTTTGTTAGATCCTCTTCCCTATCTGCGAATCCGGTTGAACTGATCTCCTCCTTTGTAAACTGCCAGTCCGAGACAATGTCTTGAGTCAAAGGCGTGATGTAAGAGCAGTGACCGAAGAAGTTACAAAGTGTGAAACCTAACGGATATTTATATGCCAAACAGGTATTGTTCCTAATAACAGTACGGCTAGGTCACCTACCCTGATTTGCAGTTCGGTTCCGTTAGACCAATCGTAATGTAGGCGGAAATAGTTGCGAACAACTGTAGCTCAAGATGTGGATGACAGTATTGTTCTGTTCTCCGAGGTGCGCATTTTTGTGGCAGCCGTTTCGTTATCAAGCTTGGCAACATTCTCAGCGTAGCTATTAGGCCCTGATTCGCGCAATTTCACAAGCCACTGCCAGATCCGAATGACTATTGATCGTTTCCGATATTGGAGCAAAGGTTGGTAGCTCAGGTTGTTCACTTGGTGGTCTCAGTGTTCGCTGAGCTCGGCAGGTTGACTGCAAACGTTCCGTCACCACTCGAGGTAACATCGTCAGTGCGCGTGTAATTCGCAAAGTGGCCCGTACGAAGTGTCAGTGCGTGTGAGTGATCGATCTCCTAGCCGCTAGTCTGAGTTTGGGTTGTTCGACAAGCACATGACCATCGAATTCGATCTCTGATTCTCACCTTGTAGTGTACGCGCGCGTGTCTCTTCGGTTCTCGTAGTTTGATGCAGTAGTCTGGTGTTCCTACTTCGAATGTCTATCTTCGATTGGTTCACGTGAGCCGACCCAGTGATCACATCTTCTCCTTGTCCATCTGGTGCCTATTGTTGACTTAACCTGCAGAACTCCTAGACACCCTCCAGGTGTTTGGTGATTGAGTTTCGGCCCGAATGTCAATCCTCGAGGAACTCACGCGCCCTGCGGTTTCTTGCATTTCCAATTATCTCAACATTCTCCAGATCAAACTGATGATCCTCGGCATCCATATATAATGACATTACGGATTTGTTATCGTGGCGGCGTATGACCAGACAATGTTCGTGCAATATTATGCCAGGTTTTCTCCCAGTCTGGCTTACATATTACTTGTCAAAATTATTGCAGGAAAATATTATTGATTAGCTCTTGTGTTCTTTTATTCCGGAACGTTTAAGAATCACAGTAGTATCGTCTACTTAAATTACCCAAAGTTTGGGCTCCACCATCGCCAATGCCTTTTTTCCAGTGCTTACATCACTGCCTCGGCTACCAACCCAGGGATTGGCAATCTCCTTGGCCTACCCGTTATCTGTTTGAAAGTGAAAGGTGTGGTGTTAAAGAAGTGAAGCAACTCCATCATTTGTGTGACTTCAATTCTGTTGCTTGTATTTATCGCTCCGTCTTGTTCAAGCAGAGTCCTTATTGTTTGCGTCGTGTCAGTTGATGGGAACAAATCTGTAGCATCAAAAAGGACCATTATCTCGTCTCGCTCTATTGTTATTTTCTTAAGTTTTTCAAGTTATTCTGCCGACTGGATTGTGTGAGTCTGTGATTAGGTGTTTCAGCCGTTTCCAGAGTTCCATAGGCAGCTTATAATTCTGTGCCTCGTGTAGGGACGAGAGAGGGCGAAGCGGTACCCCGTTTTTGTATGCTTTACGTAAGCCGTAGAACCCTGGTAGCACTGATTCGTTGGGTTTCATCTTGCTTTGTTCTTACTTCATTATCTGTCCCCTCTGTTCCAGTCTCCGAAAAGTTTTTTGATCTTGCTTTCCAGACGTTTTGTAGGGTCTTTGCTTATCGGCTTGTTTTTGTTCACATCGAGCAATTCTTGTGCTTTCTTCATGTAATCAGTTCTGTCCATTATGATATCTTTTGTCGGCCGGTAATATACCAGTAGTTTTGTCTTTTCTGAGGTTTGTCAGTGCCTTTCGTCCTTTTACGCTACATTTGTTGGTTTCCAAATTGTCACTCAGAGCGGTATGATGCTGTGTGCAGTTGCATGTTGGGCTCCAGCTGCGATGTTTGATGTGATCAGCGTTGATTCAAGTGCAGCAATAAAATCAATGGGATTGCAGTGTTTATAATTGACTTGCAGAGTTACTCGTGAGAGAAGGAATACCAACTGACAAAGGTATCTGATCGGGGAGCTGATTTTATCGCATCGTACCCGAATTGTTTGGAAAGTGAACAACACGGAGCGGTAACTACAAGCAACAGGATTGAAGTCACACAAATGATGGAGTTGCTTGACTTTTTATCACCACACCTCTCACTTTCAATGGCCAAATGCACAAACAGATAACGGGTTCGCCAATGGGGTCGCCAATCTTTGGACTGGTAACAGTGACAGTGATGCAAGCATTGGTACAAAAGACACTGCCAGTCGTGGAGCCCAAACTTTGAGTGTGTTACTTGTACGATACTTCTTTTTATCCTCAAACGCTCCGGATTACAAGAAACCCATCAGCTACTCAATAACATTTTCCCCGGCATCCATTCCACGAAAGAGTAAGATAACAATGACCAGTTGCCATTCTTGGACGTACTCGTGACAAGACATGCTTCTGGGTCACTGGAAACAACACTTTATCGAAAAGCGACACACATCGATCAGAGTTTGAACTATCGCAGTAACCATCCAAACATCTGCAAGCGCAGTTGCGTGAGGACGCTTTCCAAACCTGCCCAGACACGCGCGCCCACGTGCAACAGACAGATGAACGATTATCCTACATTACATCCATGGAATTTCTGAAATGGCAGCAAGGCTTCTAATGCCTCACGAGGTAAATGTTGCACATGATGCAACAGAAACTATTCGAAGCTAACTTTTCAAGGTAAAGGACAAACAGGGTAATGAAAAAACGGTGTAGTTTACAATATTTCCTGCAATAATTGTGACAAGTAATATGTAAGCCAGACTGGGAGAAAACCTGGCACAAGACTGCACGAACATTGTCTGGTCATCCGCCGCCACGATAACAAATCCGTAATGTCATTATATATGGATGCCGAGGATCATCAGTTTGATCTGGAGAATGTTGAGATAATTGGAAATGCAAGAAACCTCAGGGCGCGTGAGTTCCTCGAGGATTGACATTCGGGCCGAAACTCAATCACCAAACACCTGGAGGGTGTCTAGGAGTTCTGCAGGTTAAGTCAACAATAGGCACCAGATGGACAAGGAGAAGATGTGATCACTGGGTCGGCTCACGTGAACCAATCGAAGACTGACATTCGAAGTAGGAAACGATCAATAGTCATTCGGATCTGGCAGTGGCTTGTGAAACTGCGCGAATCAGGGCCTAATAGCCACACTGCAAATGTTGCATAGTTTGATAACGAAACGGCTGCAACAGAAATGCGCGGCTCGGAGAACTGGACAACCCTCTATTACTGTAATTACGCACATTATATAAAGTATGTGATTGTTCCTGAAACCACTTTTTCTTGATCTGCACATTTTTGTTTCATTTTATTTTACGATTAAAATTATAAGCTCTGGCGGAAGGTTTACCTCCATGTGGACAAGTTCAAACGTCTTGCGCACTACCGTTTGTCCGCAAATTCCGCTTAGCTCTTCTCTAGAGTACTATGTATGGTGGACGCATGCCATCATCACTACACCTGTTAACTAGAGGTGTAAAAACCTCAGCTACTGTGTCTCAGTACATAAAAGAAAAAGCATGCTACATGTGCAAGCTACCTGAGCTACCAGCAAAAGATGGGCATGATTCCGGTAAACTACCTGTCGGCTATGATTCTGCAAGTAAAATTCATTATGTAAACTTATATTATGCTATGAAATAAGCTCGTGGTTAGAGTGGGAGGCTACGATGGATGGGGAAAGGACAAGGAAACGCACAGCACGAACGCCATTGAGGTCGGTTCATAGACAAGTCATCAAGTTTATGCAGCCAATCGTGTTCTTCGTCCTTCGGCCCTCATACAGGGAGCTGGTACGCTTCAAGCGAAGCCAGCTTCGATGTGATGGCCCTCATTCCTCTCGACTAATTCTTTGCCTTGCCACCTCTCCTCTTCTTTCATCCACCCATCCCGCGCGCAAACAACACACGTCGCGGGAGCTGT